AAGTTCAATCTCCTCAGGCGCACTCTCCTTAGTAATCGGAGACAGTTCGTCTGTCTGAATAGCATAGTCAAGTCCATCCACCCCAAATGAAGCAAAAATTTCTCCTTCCACACCTTACATTTATCCCCTCTGAGCTCGGAAATATCGCATTTCATGTCAGAGATATTCACAGGTTGAAAAACTGCACAAAATAGATCAATATTCATGCTTATGTTAATAAAATTAAGACAACTATAAGTGATGTTTTACCAATATAAAAACATCAACAATATGAATCATATGACATAAAAACTCCCTGTAGGCTAAGTTTCTAATTCAAATATATTCATATTTTTATTAAACTTAATGATGAAACCATCATATTATATTCATTTCTCAATCTTTTTGGATAAATTAAAAAATATAATTGACTTTCCACCCGAATTAATTACATAAATATAATAAAATTTTTAGTGGGATAAATTTTATTATTTTATTATATCAATTTGATTAATTATAATCAATGTCTTTAACTAAATGTGTCCAATAACATATTTATGTATAATTTTATTCTAATCAGAGATGCTATGGCAATTCTCTAATCTAAATAAATTATACGGATCACAAGACATAAATTAAATAAAGACAATATAATGTCGAGAAATAGGCTTGGTCCAGTGGTTGTGCCTTCCTATGCATAATGCAAAGTTCTGGGTTTGAACTTTATCTTTTTCCCATATTATTTTTTTTTATTTGAAGTGATGGTTGTATTAATACTGGCCCAAATCGTGGCGATTACAGCAGTTTTTGTGACCGATTACAAAAATTCAGGGATTCACATGCGCAAGTGATTCAAACAAAAATTTGTAATACAAATTTTCCCATATTATTAATTTATAATACTAATATATATCAATGAGATTAGTAATTAAATATCTTCTTAGCCTAATGGATATGTACACAAACAAGTATTTCAGGATTCGAATCTATCTTACGCAAATCTATATAATATTATTTAATTATTATTTGAATATTATATGTATGACATGTACTGAAGCAAACCCTAAAACTTTTCGCATTATGTTATCTAAAGCTTTTTCCTTTCTTATGTCCGCTGTTCTCCTCTGTCAATTTTTTTTTTTATTTTGTTCTCTCACCTCCGACGACAATGGTGATTCCGGTGATAGTTTATAACCGACGACTATCACCAAATCGTCTTCATAAATGTCATCATAGAGACTAAATCCGAGAACAGAGATTTTGTAGAGAACAAAGAAATGGCAGAAAACAGAGTCAAAAGAACGAGAGCCAACATCGATCATGTTATATTTTCCCGATCTAGCACATGATTCTAACAATCAAGGTATCTCTATTCTTTACAGTTTCTTAATGGATTGTTTTACAAAAATCTTTCAATAATCTAAGATATAGATTTAAATTTATTCATAGATATAATGCAATATTACAAACCCATAAATTTTCATGTCAAAATCATAAAAGCATGGAATAATCCAAAATTTCTGTAACTAAAATTAATACAGAAAAAATTATTCCAATACCGAAAAATTCATGAACAACAAATTTTCAAGGCAGAGGATAACCGTGCTCTGATACCAAATGATAGTTTAAAATTCATTTAAACTAATCAAAATCATGATCTTCGATATGCAATACGATCACGAATGCGGAAATAAAATTATGAACTGAAAAACATACCTCCAACCATTGAATATTCTTGAGTTGAAATCTGAATTTTTCTAAGGTATAGCAATCACAAACGATGGTGTATTTGTTCTAGTGATGTAAAACGGGCTGGCTCGGACTGACCCGGACCGATTTGTCTCGAGCCAGTTCATTTTTGGCTCAACCATTTTTTTATGAACTAGAAAAACTTTGACCCATACCAAATTGTCCGAGCTCCAACCCGACTCGCGAGCCAATCCGTTTTCATTTAATTATCCAAAAAAATTAAAATTACACGAAAATTAATAATTTAAAGTCTACATAACAATATTTTGAATTCATTCAACATAACATAAAATATTTAACATAACAATCCATAAAACTATATCTAAATCAAGAAAATTAACAAAATCAAATGAACATAAAAAATGTAATACACCAACAACATCAAAATATAATAAAAAATGTACACCAACATCAACATAAAAAGTATCATACATCAACAACATCAAAATATAACAAAAAATATACACCAATATCAACATATCATGAATTTTAATTTGCTATATAAACAGAAGAAGTGAATAAATTAAAGTATAAAACCCTAATATTTTTAAATGTCAGCTCACGAACCGGGTTGGGAACCGACCGAGCTAGCTCGGATCGGCTCGGACTCGTCGCGAACTGGCTCGTTCGACCCATTTTTATTTGGTCTTTTATTTTTTCAGCCCAACTCGATAAAAAACGAACCAACCGCGAGTCAACTCGCGAGTCTGGCTCATTTTGCCATTACTAATTTGTTCTATTTGTTGCTTAGCCTAGGAACCCAAATCTATTCCCTTTAATAGTTTTTTCATCATCAGAAGAAACTGCTTAATGGATAGTTATCACACAGTTACCTCAATAATATCTAGACGATATCTTTGGAAGTTAAAAATCTTTTAGGGAGAACTTCATTTGATATAAGCAATTAATAAATAAAATAAATATAAATTCCAACAATATATACATATAAAAATATATCTATATACACATATTTGTATGTAATTTTTTATTTTCCCTCTCCCTCTGAAACCCTAGCCACCCTATTCGTTGTAGCCGAGGCCGGCAATGTCGTCGGCCGTCCACCAAAAACTGCCTCCATCTCCGTAGCAGCTCTGCTCCCTCCTCACCGAGGATCCTGGGGCCGCCTCCTCCCCTTTCTACCCCTACCCCTTCTCGTCGCTTCACTCCAAACCTGAAAGCCACTCAGGACCCTTCTCCCCCCTCCAACAGGCCTTCACCAACCTCCTTCTTCCCCTGTAGTTCGGAAAACCTGCACTCCCCTTCCTCCCCCCGGATTTTCGATGACCGAACCCGTTCAACGGACTGGTGCGATGCTAACAGACGGCGATTTCTACTTCTTGCCCTGCTAAGCACTCCAATTGGCTACCCGCAGCCAGGGTCCGCCTTCAGGCCATCTATATCCCTTAAGCGCCTCCCGCGCTAGCAAATCCTGAGGAAATCAGTGTCCCAGAGCTCAACCCAACTCCATCAGAGCATCAACCGTTGAGCGAACACCTTTTCCCAGACAATGGTAAGCTGGAAAGAATAGGCAAGTCAGAAGTTCATGTTTCTGGACTTTGATACTATCTCCGTTGTATGTATTTATAAATAAAATATTTTTAAATATTTACGCATATATTAGTAGGTCATTCGGATTTTGGTTCATAACTTGTTCGGTTCTATAAAAAAAAATGTTTCAAATTAGAATCGGACCAAAGTATCCCCAACTCGAAACCAATTCCTGTCGGTTTAGATCGTGTCGGGACTAAATTTCTGAGCCAAAGTGTCCCCTGCTCAAAAGCATCGAACTGTAAAACTTTTAGTACAGCTAAACGCTAAAAGACTAACCAAAGCAGACGTTAAGATCACAAAGATTGTTGGACAAGAATAAAAATGTATGAATCCAAAAGTCCACACAAAAATAGAGGCCCAAAGTAATCTTAGGCCCAAAAATAAAATTAAAAAAAATTACGAGAGTTTTCGATATTCTTTTTTTTTTCAAATCGAACAATCCAAACCAGAGAATATCCTAACATATCATAATAGATTGGTTCAAACCATATAATTACATATAATCAAGGCATGAATACTTCCAAGAACTGCATGACCATAGTATTTCACTCAAACAAGAGGTTAGAAGACGAAATCTAATTCAACAAAAAGAAAAAATACTAATTTAAGCATTGCGTAAAATTGATCGATATAAATGAAGACACATATATATATGTATATATGTATATAATGGGTAAATCATGAGATATAAAACACATGATTTAACATTTGATACTTGCCCGGAGTCCCTTGTACATATGCCCCTGTCCACCTTTGTGTACTCCTCGCATCCCCCTTTTTTTTTACATCTTAAAAGAATGATTTGATACTCTTCGTGCATCTTTGGCACCTTTAGAAAATCCATGGAGCTCGAAACATTTTCCTACAAAACCATCTTTTGCGATCAATTTACATTACGTTGTGACTGCCAAATGATTTGAACATTAGCATTTTCTTTCAATGCATAGTTTCGCAAACAAACAAAATAACCCAAATCAAATTAAAATTCGAGAAAACAAACTGGAGTTGGCATTTTCTTCTTAGTTTCTTCCCTTTTTTCTGTGTTTTTGTAAATTTAATCATAAAAAGAGAGAAATGACGTGGAAATCATGGAAACTAAGGCGTTGAAAGTTACAATTCATGAGGTGAATAAAAATGTATTCGAACATCAAAATGATTTAGTCCGTATGGTGGAACTGAATTGATTGATTTAAGAGCTCTTTAATTATTATTTATTATTGTTGTTGATGATATATGTATGGTTTTACTGTTTTAAGAACATCAAGGAGAGCAACCAAATTATTAAATCTGTTTCACCAAAATGCAAAAGAACTTTATTATCATCAAAATATTAAAGAAGAGATAAACCTCAATCCAACCAATCACAACATAAAACTAAAAAAGAGAAATAAAAATCAATTTTTTTTTTTTTTTTGCAAAATCTGAAGCATATGTTAGGTTCATAAAGTTTTAACATTTTCAATTTAGTTCATTAAATTCAATTTAAATATGTGCGGATTACAATCTTTAAACTAAGATTCTGTTTACCTGGATTGGAATTGCGATAGCATTTCAAGAAGAGAGAGCCAGACATTGATTTCATCCTTAGAGCCAAGATCAAGATTTCATATCAAGAAGAGAGGGCCAGACATTGATTGTTTCCAAACCAACGGGCAGAGACTTGAAACAAGAACATAACCTAGAAGAGCGATCGAATGAAAACCGCCTAGAATTCGAATGTCTTAGACAGAGTAGTTACAAGAAACAGAAGTTGTCGTTGACTCGCTGGAGGACGAAAATGATGGAGACAACGAAGAAGAAGGGCTCTCTGCTGTGACCAAACAACCGCAGCAACTCGGGTTGTCCAAAGCCAATAAATCCGGTTTCGCATCCTCGAACATGAAGTCGATGTTTTCCTCAAACCCCATCTCGTCTAACAGTTCGGGGAACTCGATGGGTTCATCGGTGGACATCAGCTTCTGATCCGTCAGAAATGGAGCAAACCCTATATCCGCACAGAAGCTCCAAGCCAGCTTATTGTTGTCCGAAGGGTCCATCTCCATAATGGTCGATGAGTCCATGCAGCAAGTGACGTCTTCTTTATATGTCTGAAACTCTTCAATGATATCCTGTTCTTGTCTCTCTTCTTCATTCGGTTGCTGCAGATACTGTTCATACTCTTCTTCTTCTTGTTCGGGTTCTTCTTGCTGCGGCAGCTCGGCTTTTGCTTTTCTTACACCTGTTTCTTGCTCGGTTTCTGCAGCCGATGACTCGACCACGGGCTCTTGTATTTGGTTTAGAGGGAACGGGAAAACGCCCTTTTGCTTCAATCGGTCTACGTAATTGCTAATGTCGAAATTGGTAACGGCATTGGCTCCTCTATACTCTATCGCCGCCATGTCATAAGCTGCCGCGGCTTTCAAAATATTAGTAAAAAAAAATCTTCACCAAAATGAACACCACAGACGCACAAAGGGTTAAAAGAAATAAAGCAAAAGAGAAGCAATTTGCAATGATCAGTCCTTATCAGTGTATGTCGGGCATGATAATCTAATCTTTTGAAACGGACTATACAATATTTTTTTGTAGATTGTAAAGGAAAAAATATTTATAAAATGGGGTAATCGCCAAAAAAACTCTGTACTTTTCTCCGGTCAACGAAAAAACTCTATACTTTTTTTATTACCAATTAAACCCTATATTTGATGTGATTAATTTATAAAATCCCGTACTTTTAAAAAATTCACCGAAAATCCCCGCGAATGCCAACTCAAGCAAAAATGATTATGTAGCAATGACATGGTATGAACACATCACCATAATTATGTCACATCATCATTTCAATCAAAATTTAAATTAAATTATTTATTTAAATTAATATATATACATACAAATCATCACGTACATATATATATTAAAAATAAAATTATTTATAATTAATAAAACATATATACACATAACTACAATATAAATGTATATTATAACTAATGTGTATATATATTAAAATAAAAATAATTATAATTAATTTTATATATATACATGATATATATTAAAATACAAATAATTATAACTAACATATATACATATAATATATATTAAAAATAATATGTATATGTATATATATTAGTTATACATACAACATATACATATATTACTAATATACTTATTAAAATAAAAGTAATTATAATTAACATATATATATAATATCTTTTAAAAATAATATATATATGTATATATATTAGTTATACATGCAATATATATATATACAACTAATATGTATATTAAAATAAAAATAATTATAACTAATATATATATATACAATATATATTAAAAATAATATGCATATATATATATATATATTATTTATAATATATATATTGTAGATATGCATATATTTTTTTATTAGTTATAAGTAATTTTATATTTAATATATATATGTATGTGTGTATTTGTATGTATATATATTAATTTAATTTAAATTTTGTTTGAAATGATGATGTGACATAATTATGATGATGTGTTCATATCATATCATTGGCATATCATCATTTTTTGTTTGAATTGGCATTCGTAGGGAATTTTCGGTGAATTTTTAAAAAATACGGGGTTTTATAGATTAATCACATCAAGTATAGGGTTTAATTAGTAATAAAAAAAAGTATAGGATTTTTTCATTGACCTGGAAAAAGTACATGATTTTTTTGACGATTATCCCTTATAAAATTGACACACTCTTTATTTTTCATCGAACAGGCGAATGTTGCAATCTTTAGAGACTTAAAACATTGTTAGAACAATGTTTGGACCGTTCAAGAATGCTGTCCAATGCTGTTGCTAATAGGGTTGGGCACAAATACCTGAAAATCGGGTATCTATTGAATACTCGTCTCGCGGATACCCAATTTTAGAGTACTCATACTTTTCAAATCCAAATCCAAATCCAAATCCGAATTTTTCAATATATGTGAATTCGAATCCAAATCCGGATAATATAATTTTTAAAACCGAGTATCTGTGGGTACCCGACTGGTATGATTATAAATAATTATATCTTATATCTATATAATATTTTTATAAAATATAATTATTTTAGATTAAATAATTTCATATCTCTTAATATTATCTCAAAAAACTAAAATTATTATTATTTATCTCTTATTATCTCTTTTGTCTCATATTTTTTTTTATCATAATTCATCTATTTTTATAAATATATCTTTATTTTTTGAAAAATTTATTATATAAATATTTATTGTTTTCTTAAATAAATTTGGGTCAAGGTATCCGCGAATATCCAAACATTATTTGGATACCTATACCTGGATACTCGTAATCCTCAAATTTCGGATACAAATCTTATAATTAAATATCCAAACTTTTCGGATCTAAATCCAAATACCCTGGCTTTTCTGGGTATCCGAACTGTTTAGTGATATGCCCAAAAAGCAGTCAGTGTATGTCTTTTGCTACCTAATAAGACAAAAAAAACCAATCCAAGAATCTGTGTTGTGTGCTTGTTGGGACGTTAAGGTTACTCAATTAGCCTGAGGCATGTGCCTTGGGGTGATCATTTTGAACCGACCCAGAAATTGATGAAAACGGTTAACCCAGATAAAATGCACTAAAAACCGACAAGAGTAAAACCCGGTTCATTTCGGGTTTATACCGTTAACTACCACCCCAATCCATTTAAACCAATATACCAAAACCCGGTTCATTTCGGGATTATTCCATTAACTATCTCCACGGTCCGGTTAGACCGAACAAATTGAAAAACAAAGAAACCCAAACCATACTCCAAACTTGTGAATTTGTGATTCTCTCCCTTGAGAAAAAAATCTCCTCAAAATAATACTAAAACTATGCGTTTCATTAGAAGTGGGTTTGCCCTAATTAACCACTCCGCCGCCTAGAGGTCATGGTCACTGGTCAGAGAGTCCAAAACTTGGATATAACAATTAATCGCATCATTATATACAATTAGTCTATGACTGCATATAATAATTTGAAAAAACACACATACACGCACGACACTCTAATTGTAGCCCCCTATATCACCCCTGATATTTAATAACTATCAAAATCAACAAAATTTTAATAAATTATTTAAGTCGTCTTCTAAAAGAAAACCACTGATGTGAACACTAAAAAATGGCTATATAACAAGTTACCCATATTAGTTTATGGAGAATTATTTTATGTAAACCCCAAAAGAATAATGTATATACTAATTGTATGTAAAATACTCAAGACAAATGAAATATTAAAAGCGAAAACAACATATTTTTTTAAAGGGCATAATGATAGATTTTTATCATTTTTTTTACGGAGTGATCAGAGAGGCACGTGACAGCTCGTGACTCGTACTGACCACAAGCTTAGTATCTAAAACTTCTTAATCCCCAATTTAAATTTTTTGCAATCCTACTTAATCCTAATTTAATACGACAAAACAAAAAAAAATATTTATAAATGTATATAAATATTTTTATAAACCCAAAAAAACAAAAGGAAAAAACGGAACCAGATCGAGTTCGGGTTTCGGTCGTGGCGTCTGAACACTTTTGTACTTATTATGGAGGGGAAAGTCACGTGACCACGCGCTCACGCACCATGGAAATGAAAGCGGACACTTGTAACGCTTGAAAAACAACTTAGAATGTCACGTCCATGTGTACAATTTCCAACCGCTGATTTTCTTTGTAATAATGATAATTGACTTATCTTTTATTTTCCTTTCAAAAATATTAATAGTTTTAGGATGTAAAACGAATCCAGTTCATGGATTGACTCGCGAGATGATCTATATTTTGAGTCTAATTCAGAGTATTTGAGTCCCAAAAAAATGGGTCAAACGAACCGATTTAACGAATCAGAATTTTTTAATTTTTTTTTTAATATATTTTTAATTTTTTTATATATAAATTATATTTTTATTAGATATTTAATTTCTTTTGTTTAAAATTTTAAGTTTTTTTAATTATATTTTAAATATTATAAAAATATTATAAATATTGTTTAAATATTTTTTAAAATTATATATTTAACTGGTAGATCGATTTAAATAGAACAATCCAACCCGTTTTACATCCTAAATAGCTTGAATTCTAATTCTAAAGTGATACCAAGGCATGTTTATATTAATCCGAAAATGATGGTTTCAATGAGCCCATAAGTTGAGTTTTTTTCATCACTCATGTTATTTAGGAAAAATAATTTTTTAGATTGTCCTAATGTGGGAACTAATCTAAAGTTTTGTTAATAAAATCATCAAAATTTTCCAAATTAAAATTAATAAGCAGAATGACTACTTTTTTCCCAAAAGGATCAAATCACTAATTTTTTCCAAGTATATCCAAAAAGAATTTTTTTTTACATTTTTTCATGAAATTGGGTATGCTGAGTTTTTAAAACAAATGAATAAGTAATTTCTGTATGCTGTGCTGGTTTGTCGAAGATTGGTGCATAATAATAATAATTATAATAGTAATAGTAATATACGTACGACCTAAAAACAGTACAAAATCAATTATTAATGGTAACTTTTCGAATGAAAAGTCGTAAATATTCCTAATGCAGTGTTATTCAAATTTTCTATTCGAGGGATCGGATCCAAAAAACACACAACAGAAAGGCAAATCTTTTATAAATCAAATAATAATAAAAAACTTTATTAAATTTATTCAAATATTAACAATTTCTATCGGTGACATGATGTCAAATCCTTCGACTCACGTGGGTGTGATTCAAAGGCACCATTCTTTTCCCCCTTTTCTAATTTTTTGTTGACATTTATTTTTTCATTACTTTCTCTTTTTTGTATCAAACTGATATGGCTTTTTACAATATTTTGCCCTAATAAAAGAGGTTTTATAATTGAGTAGTAGAGATTTCATGGGCATTTTGTCAAACATCAACGAACTTTCACGAATTTTATAAAACTGTCACATTTATTTTTGGATTTACATGTTTTTTTCTGTTTTTTTTTTTGTGTTTTTCTAAGCATAAATTTGGGTCAAGGTATCCGCGAATATCCAAACATTATTTGGATACCTATACCTGGATACTCGTAATCCTCAAATTTCGGATACAAATCTTATAATTAAATATCCAAACTTTTCGGATCTAAATCCAAATACCCTGGCTTTTCTGGGTATCCGAACTGTTTAGTGATATGCCCAAAAAGCAGTCAGTGTATGTCTTTTGCTACCTAATAAGACAAAAAAAACCAATCCAAGAATCTGTGTTGTGTGCTTGTTGGGACGTTAAGGTTACTCAATTAGCCTGAGGCATGTGCCTTGGGGTGATCATTTTGAACCGACCCAGAAATTGATGAAAACGGTTAACCCAGATAAAATGCACTAAAAACCGACAAGAGTAAAACCCGGTTCATTTCGGGTTTATACCGTTAACTACCACCCCAATCCATTTAAACCAATATACCAAAACCCGGTTCATTTCGGGATTATTCCATTAACTATCTCCACGGTCCGGTTAGACCGAACAAATTGAAAAACAAAGAAACCCAAACCATACTCCAAACTTGTGAATTTGTGATTCTCTCCCTTGAGAAAAAAATCTCCTCAAAATAATACTAAAACTATGCGTTTCATTAGAAGTGGGTTTGCCCTAATTAACCACTCCGCCGCCTAGAGGTCATGGTCACTGGTCAGAGAGTCCAAAACTTGGATATAACAATTAATCGCATCATTATATACAATTAGTCTATGACTGCATATAATAATTTGAAAAAACACACATACACGCACGACACTCTAATTGTAGCCCCCTATATCACCCCTGATATTTAATAACTATCAAAATCAACAAAATTTTAATAAATTATTTAAGTCGTAATAATTATAACTAATATATATATATACAATATATATTAAAAATAATATGCATATATATATATATATATTATTTATAATATATATATTGTAGATATGCATATATTTTTTTATTAGTTATAAGTAATTTTATATTTAATATATATATGTATGTGTGTATTTGTATGTATATATATTAATTTAATTTAAATTTTGTTTGAAATGATGATGTGACATAATTATGATGATGTGTTCATATCATATCATTGGCATATCATCATTTTTTGTTTGAATTGGCATTCGTAGGGAATTTTCGGTGAATTTTTAAAAAATACGGGGTTTTATAGATTAATCACATCAAGTATAGGGTTTAATTAGTAATAAAAAAAAGTATAGGATTTTTTCATTGACCTGGAAAAAGTACATGATTTTTTTGACGATTATCCCTTATAAAATTGACACACTCTTTATTTTTCATCGAACAGGCGAATGTTGCAATCTTTAGAGACTTAAAACATTGTTAGAACAATGTTTGGACCGTTCAAGAATGCTGTCCAATGCTGTTGCTAATAGGGTTGGGCACAAATACCTGAAAATCGGGTATCTATTGAATACTCGTCTCGCGGATACCCAATTTTAGAGTACTCATACTTTTCAAATCCAAATCCAAATCCAAATCCGAATTTTTCAATATATGTGAATTCGAATCCAAATCCGGATAATATAATTTTTAAAACCGAGTATCTGTGGGTACCCGACTGGTATGATTATAAATAATTATATCTTATATCTATATAATATTTTTATAAAATATAATTATTTTAGATTAAATAATTTCATATCTCTTAATATTATCTCAAAAAACTAAAATTATTATTATTTATCTCTTATTATCTCTTTTGTCTCATATTTTTTTTTATCATAATTCATCTATTTTTATAAATATATCTTTATTTTTTGAAAAATTTATTATATAAATATTTATTGTTTTCTTAAATAAATTTGGGTCAAGGTATCCGCGAATATCCAAACATTATTTGGATACCTATACCTGGATACTCGTAATCCTCAAATTTCGGATACAAATCTTATAATTAAATATCCAAACTTTTCGGATCTAAATCCAAATACCCTGGCTTTTCTGGGTATCCGAACTGTTTAGTGATATGCCCAAAAAGCAGTCAGTGTATGTCTTTTGCTACCTAATAAGACAAAAAAAACCAATCCAAGAATCTGTGTTGTGTGCTTGTTGGGACGTTAAGGTTACTCAATTAGCCTGAGGCATGTGCCTTGGGGTGATCATTTTGAACCGACCCAGAAATTGATGAAAACGGTTAACCCAGATAAAATGCACTAAAAACCGACAAGAGTAAAACCCGGTTCATTTCGGGTTTATACCGTTAACTACCACCCCAATCCATTTAAACCAATATACCAAAACCCGGTTCATTTCGGGATTATTCCATTAACTATCTCCACGGTCCGGTTAGACCGAACAAATTGAAAAACAAAGAAACCCAAACCATACTCCAAACTTGTGAATTTGTGATTCTCTCCCTTGAGAAAAAAATCTCCTCAAAATAATACTAAAACTATGCGTTTCATTAGAAGTGGGTTTGCCCTAATTAACCACTCCGCCGCCTAGAGGTCATGGTCACTGGTCAGAGAGTCCAAAACTTGGATATAACAATTAATCGCATCATTATATACAATTAGTCTATGACTGCATATAATAATTTGAAAAAACACACATACACGCACGACACTCTAATTGTAGCCCCCTATATCACCCCTGATATTTAATAACTATCAAAATCAACAAAATTTTAATAAATTATTTAAGTCGTCTTCTAAAAGAAAACCACTGATGTGAACACTAAAAAATGGCTATATAACAAGTTACCCATATTAGTTTATGGAGAATTATTTTATGTAAACCCCAAAAGAATAATGTATATACTAATTGTATGTAAAATACTCAAGACAAATGAAATATTAAAAGCGAAAACAACATATTTTTTTAAAGGGCATAATGATAGATTTTTATCATTTTTTTTACGGAGTGATCAGAGAGGCACGTGACAGCTCGTGACTCGTACTGACCACAAGCTTAGTATCTAAAACTTCTTAATCCCCAATTTAAATTTTTTGCAATCCTACTTAATCCTAATTTAATACGACAAAACAAAAAAAAATATTTATAAATGTATATAAATATTTTTATAAACCCAAAAAAACAAAAGGAAAAAACGGAACCAGATCGAGTTCGGGTTTCGGTCGTGGCGTCTGAACACTTTTGTACTTATTATGGAGGGGAAAGTCACGTGACCACGCGCTCACGCACCATGGAAATGAAAGCGGACACTTGTAACGCTTGAAAAACAACTTAGAATGTCACGTCCATGTGTACAATTTCCAACCGCTGATTTTCTTTGTAATAATGATAATTGACTTATCTTTTATTTTCCTTTCAAAAATATTAATAGTTTTAGGATGTAAAACGAATCCAGTTCATGGATTGACTCGCGAGATGATCTATATTTTGAGTCTAATTCAGAGTATTTGAGTCCCAAAAAAATGGGTCAAACGAACCGATTTAACGAATCAGAATTTTTTAATTTTTTTTTTAATATATTTTTAATTTTTTTATATATAAATTATATTTTTATTAGATATTTAATTTCTTTTGTTTAAAATTTTAAGTTTTTTTAATTATATTTTAAATATTATAAAAATATTATAAATATTGTTTAAATATTTTTTAAAATTATATATTTAACTGGTAGATCGATTTAAATAGAACAATCCAACCCGTTTTACATCCTAAATAGCTTGAATTCTAATTCTAAAGTGATACCAAGGCATGTTTATATTAATCCGAAAATGATGGTTTCAATGAGCCCATAAGTTGAGTTTTTTTCATCACTCATGTTATTTAGGAAAAATAATTTTTTAGATTGTCCTAATGTGGGAACTAATCTAAAGTTTTGTTAATAAAATCATCAAAATTTTCCAAATTAAAATTAATAAGCAGAATGACTACTTTTTTCCCAAAAGGATCAAATCACTAATTTTTTCCAAGTATATCCAAAAAGAATTTTTTTTTACATTTTTTCATGAAATTGGGTATGCTGAGTTTTTAAAACAAATGAATAAGTAATTTCTGTATGCTGTGCTGGTTTGTCGAAGATTGGTGCATAATAATAATAATTATAATAGTAATAGTAATATACGTACGACCTAAAAACAGTACAAAATCAATTATTAATGGTAACTTTTCGAATGAAAAGTCGTAAATATTCCTAATGCAGTGTTATTCAAATTTTCTATTCGAGGGATCGGATCCAAAAAACACACAACAGAAAGGCAAATCTTTTATAAATCAAATAATAATAAAAAACTTTATTAAATTTATTCAAATATTAACAATTTCTATCGGTGACATGATGTCAAATCCTTCGACTCACGTGGGTGTGATTCAAAGGCACCATTCTTTTCCCCCTTTTCTAATTTTTTGTTGACATTTATTTTTTCATTACTTTCTCTTTTTTGTATCAAACTGATATGGCTTTTTACAATATTTTGCCCTAATAAAAGAGGTTTTATAATTGAGTAGTAGAGATTTCATGGGCATTTTGTCAAACATCAACGAACTTTCACGAATTTTATAAAACTGTCACATTTATTTTTGGATTTACATGTTTTTTTCTGTTTTTTTTTTTGTGTTTTTCTAAGCACGAATATAACAATAACAGTCTCAATGCCTAAAAGATAACAAATAAACCCTAAGTTGTCATAAATTAACTAATTAAGCTCAAATTATATTTTTTTAAATAAAAGGTTGAAAATAACGGACGGTTTGATTTGATTGGGTTTACTTTTGAGGGCAAAGTATCAAAGTGCGTGCAAAATAAGAGGAAAATTAGGGGGGGAGGGGTACGTACTATAAGTGCCGAGGTACAAGTACTTGTTGCCGAACACTCTCCCAATCCGTGCCTCCCATCGTCCGTTATGATGATGCCTGTTGTTCCCGTTTCCAAACACCCCCCCTTAATCAGCTTTATATTCTTACAAAAACTCCAAATTATACAATCACGTATATACAAGCTTTTATGCATGTATGCGTATATTTAAATGCATTAAAAAAATATTCTGACTGCGTGTACGAATAAAGCTATACGAGTAGCGACAAAACCGATTTTGTAAATTTAATAAAACTGAAGATTTGGTCTGCATTTTATAGTTCTAAAAACAAGACTGATGATGTGTCTGGTCCGAACAAAACGCATCCAGGCGAATGCTAGCGTAGTAGGCTGTTTAAGATTTAAATTAGCATACAAAATTAAGAATTTGTTCTATAAATATAAAAAAATCTGAAAAAATCGATAATTCTTTTCAAATTTACAAATAAAAAGATTTTTAAAATTTGTGTTTTTTATAAATTAAAATTCATTTTTTTGGTTTTAGGTTTATTGGTTTCATCATTTTATAAATCAATATAAAAATCTAGAAATACGGTAAAAATTTTGGAGAATTAAAATAAAAAGGTATTAAAAAATATACAGAAAACGGACCTAGCGACGCCGCGATACTTGGACACGCCACGAGAGAAGCCGCTGCTCTGACGCCGAAGCGACGCCAAGTACTCTTCTTTTGTCACTCTGTTCATCTCCTCCAATTCCTTCGTATACGTTCCGATCTTCAAAATCATTTTCAAAAAATTAAACACAAAACCCATAAATTCAACACAAATTCGATCTAAAAAAAATGGAGCATGCATCAATAATCCGATGAATTCTACCGGAAAATTCAAGATGGTGTCGGGTCCCCAGTACTTGAGCGCCGCGAGATCGTAAGTACGAGCCGCAGCTTCTTCGCTGTCGTAGGCCCCTGCAGAAGAATTTAAACAGCTTAGTAGCAGGTGAGGTTAATTAAACCTTAATTAATTACGAGCACCAACTTGATTAAATTAGTTGAATCTGGAGTGAAGAGAGAAGGCCATGTACCAAGATAAACTGGTTTAGGAGCCGAAGCGGAGCGAGATCAATCACCGGGAACAGAAACAGGAACATTTGTCAGTGCGTAGAATCGGAAAATCAAGGCGAATCGGTTAAAACCGGAGAGAAAAACGCGTGCCCAGATTTTTGAAACTTTCGTCGGATTCAAAAACGGTATCAAAATCGAAACTTTTTTTTTCCTAATTTTGCCAGAGGATGAGCAAAGGGTTCCCCCCAAAAAAAGAAACCTTGTTTGCCTTTCTTGTTCTGGATTGAGTTCCAAGAGCTCTTGTCCCATAGATGAGCTTCGAATCTCCCAGTCCATCGATGTCTGTTCATTCCCCCCAAAACAACAACAAAACATGCAATGTACATAACCAAATCGGATTAAAATCAGACAAAAAGGGGCAAATCGACAAGTGGGCAAACTCGGAATCGGTTGTACCTTGTGACTCCTCTGTAAATCGAGCTTCTTCTTCCCGAGCCAGGGCTTGTCGGATTCTGGGTTTTCTCATCAATGGACGTCGTCAAAGAAGAAGAGGAAGACTTCTTCGTTCTCTTCGTACGTTTCGGCCTCGGAGCCTCCGGTGGAATTGGAGGGTCGGATGAAGAGGAAGAGACGGAGGAAGAGGAGGAAGAAGAAGCGGCGACAGAGGTACAAGTTGGAGACCTCTTCATTAAATTTGGAGAAACAAAGCACAAAGAAAAGAATGAAAATTGAGACGCGAATCGAAGAGAAATGGAACGAAGAAGAAAAGGGTTCTCGAGATTTTATTTTATGTTTTGGTTTGAAGGAAGTGAAGTTAGATTTGTAGAAGAAGACTATCGAGGAAGTGGTTTACCAAAACAGAGTGACAGAAGTGAGCGAGTTAAATAAAGGGGGGACGAAATGGTAAAATAAAGAAAATAGAAATTACAAAAAAAAACAAATATTAAAAAAGGAAATTAAATAGTTAACCAAAGTAGTAACCCAAGTGGGGTTAGTGGGCCTCTGGTTAATTAACTATGAGTTAATTATAAGCCGAACACTTGGCTTCCTGTTGCAGCCATGCTACCAGTAGCTATACTCTCTTCAAACTGACCTTTTTTTCCCTTTATTTTTTCTGTTTTTTTTTTATTTGGTATGGTTTTTTATTACCCCTTCCATTTTTAAAGAAATATCGTTTTAAAAAAATTCTTTTTGTTATTTGACAGATATGTTTTAAATTTTTTAAATGATTTTTTAGTAAAATTTACAATTTTATCTTTAATTAAAAATGAGAATCCGGTTTAATGAATGTTATATAACTTTGTTTATATTTCCTAAAAAAATTGAGATAAAATCTAAAATGATACTATTTACTTAGAAACGGAGAAAATAAATGAATTCGTTTTTTCTGTTCACAGAAATATATAAAAAGAACCGAAATTACATGGAAACAAAGAAAGATTCTAACCTCGTAGTGAAAAGATGAAAAAAAAATCTAAAACATATGTAAGTAAACCATTAAGGATTTTAAAAAGTAAATAAAATTCTAGATGAGGCCAGAAAGGGAGAAAATACTTGTTTACATTTTAAATAATTTTTTTTAAAATGAAAAAAATTATGATTTTTTTAGATTTAATCTTTCAATATTCGATATTATTGAAAATTTTTATAGATTTTAATAAATAAAAAAAGTGCACCAAAAACATATATGTGTTTTAGTAGCTCATACTTTTTTCGTTTTTTTAAGTAAAATTTTGTGTAATGATTCAAGTAATAATCACAACATAAAAATAAAATAAAGTTTTTTTTTTGTTAAATGTGCTTCGTATATTTCTCTCACCAAAATGTTTTTAAAAAAATACAGGGAACTCCTACATGCCATCGATGGGCCAAGATATAAGGAGCCTACGATAAAATAAAGTTAAAGAAGATTGGTTACTATAATATATTATGGGTTTGATTTTCAGCCCTACCCAACCTTAATCTATCATGGGACAGCCCAAAACGTATCTCATTTTCAAATGTAAGTTTATTGGCCCATATATTTGAAAAAACAAATTGAGTACTCCAAATAAAGTTTTAAATCCGTCGAATTTAGCATTCTAAGTTATGTTTGGCTCCAGTTTAAAAAGAACAATAGATAAAAGTAATAAATATCACATTTAAGTATACCAACAAAATTTTACATTCATGTCATACCGAAAAAGTTGAAAGACGTAAACGTTTATAGAGATTTGTTATGAAGTGTTTATTATGGGGGCATTATATGATTCTATTTCAGATTTTGTAAAATTAGTAAAGAAATCTCAAAATTTTAGTTTCATAAATGGAGGTCTATGCCCCCCATTAGTAGGAGTTAGGAGTGGCTATTTCGGGTTTCGTTTCGGTCTCGGTTCGGTTATATTCGTTTTCGGTTAATTCGGTTATGGAAAAACTATAACCATTCAATTTTTATATAAACTTTGGTTCGATTCGGTTCAGTTATTTTTCGGTCGCTTCGATTCATATTCAGTTTTTTATTGTAAAAAACTCATTTTTTTAAAAGAAATTATCGGTTTTTCGGTTATCTTTTTAATCTGTTAGACTCGGTTTCAGTTTTTTCGGGTTTAGAAAACATATAACCGCTCGATTTTTATATCGGACTCGGTTCGATTACAGTTATATCTTATTCCGTTCGGTTCGATTTACTTATTCGGTTAATAATCGAAATGGCTATTCCTATCCTTTAGGATACACATAGGTCCGCCACTTCTTGCATCCATTGCAGGCCAATGTTGACGCATAAGAGTTTTTCCGTATGTCGGGAAGAAACGAACAAAGCATTGCAAAATGTTCAAGAGAAATGATCGAGTTAAGAGGGGTTTCTCATACAATTTGGTAGAACGTACTTAATAAAATAATTTTGAAATAAAAAATTCATAACCAAACGGTTAATAAAATTTAATTGATTCGTTTCGGTTCAAATTCGGTTATTTTGAATTTTGAAAAATCATAACCAATCAGCTAATTAACTCGGTTCGGTTAATAATCAAAATAACTTTATTCGGTTTGATTCGGTTAATAACCAAATTAGTTCAACCGAATGTCTACCCTACTTTAAACTATATGAGAAATATAAATCAATTTAAATTGTTTATAACTAACAGACTCACAAATTAAGAGTTTAAGAGGATTCGCTCAGCAAATACCGTAAATAAGATTTCACCGAATGAATAGAATTATCGGGAGAGAGGATTCCTACTTCTCGAATAACCCGCAACCATAATGTGTTGGAATACGATGAACAGTTGTTCCAGTGTTATTAATGCATAGAAAGATATATATATATATATATATATGCATATCAACCAGGGGTTTTAACCCTAATAACCCACTTGGGTCGCAGCAATTTCAGGGTACACCACCGAAAAAAAAAAAAAATTTTGCGACCTTATTACGACTAATATATAACTAATATACAACTAAAATAAGAGTAGTTTATTAGTCGTAATAAGTTGTATATTAGTTATATATTAGTCGTAATAAGGTCGCAAAATTTTTTTTTTTTTTCGGCGGTGTACACTGAAATTGCTGCGACCCAAGTGGGTTATTTGAGTAATATTCCCTATCAACCATGTGCTTATCGTTGCCAAACAATGTTCATCTCATCATCTTTCTTTAGCTGTACTTGGAGTTGGAGGAAGCTAATGTTCACTATGATCACATGCTCATTTTCGAAGAAACTGATGAACAATCGTAATATCGGATCACAGAATTGACGTGATATATTCAATCTTGTCTTTTACTGGACCTTATTAGAGAATATTCAACTTATATATATATGTGTGTGTGTCTGTATTGAGGAGGAAACATTTTGGATAGAAGAGTTTTGTGGAAAAGGAAATGCGTATTACTTCGACCATTAGTCAAACTCAGATTTCCAATTGTTAGGAAATTTAATGAAACCGCTGTTGAATAAAATTGCTCGACATTTGCAGATTGCGATATTTTTGTTGTGTAATGATTTGTCGTTCTTCAGACGGAACTCTTTGAAAGGTGGTAAGATTTGCCGTACATAAAAGAGGATAATATCAAATTATAAATGAGAAAATATTAATCCAAGGAATATATATCAATAAAAAGTTCCACACGGAGTAATTTATGCATATAAACTAGTACCACGTGAACATACAATTTCAGCAACTTTTAAATAGTGTCACACACATCTACGTGAACGAGTGATTGTTATAATTTAACACAATAATACAATATATCATAGTTATGTGAATATAAACCCTAGCCAAAAAAAAAGTCTTCGGCAAAGTCAATTTGAGCCCATATTTCAAATACCCGAACTTGGTTTTATTCGAACTGTAAGTCATTTTTCATTCAATGCCAAATTATTTTTTTTTATGAAAAATCCAAAAAAATTACTGATTTTTATTTTTTAATTTTGGCAAAAATACTGATTTTTTAAGTAAAAAAGTACTAAACTTTTTAAATAAATTAAAAAATATATGAACTCCGCTATATAACATTTGGATGTGCAAACATGGCGTATAAAAACTTATACCGCTTTGGTATATCGCTATACACGTGAAATTAAATTGACACATAGATAAAATATTAGTTAAATAATTTTTGGTATAAGATAAACTAGTTTAATAAAATTTAAATAAAAAACCCTAAATTTGTAGAATCCCTAAGAAAACCTGAATTTGGTTTGGTCATTATACAAACAAAGTCGCTTATACTCGTTTATGCAGCGCCACGCCGCACTGAATCCCTCCTCCATATCCCATGAATGAAAATAAAAAACAAATTCCCGTATTTTTGTCTCCCTTAGGACGCGAACTTCAGATCATCAAGATCTTGTGTTTCCGAGAGGAAAAAAAAAGAAGGAAATGAAAAAGCTCAGTCATCTTCGCTTTTTGTCTCTGCGAATGCAATTGTGGGTTATCATTGTTTCCTCTCAACATTCCTCGTAAATCTCCTCTCTCTCTCTCTCTCTGTCTCTCACAACCAGAAACCACCCTCTCTTTTTTGGTAATTCCAGAAATCTCCCCTTTCTCTGTCGTTTTCCTCTCCATTCGTTTTACAAAGTTTGCTGCTTTTCCCCCTTCTTTTGGGTTTTGGAGATCCTTTTTCCCCTTCACAGTTCACTTTGGTAAGTTCCTTCTTCCTTGTGGGTTTACTTTTCTGGGTAATCTGGTCTCTCGTTATTATTCATCATATCTTATCATGTTGACAATCGAATTAGGAAGAGGAGTACGTTTCATGCATATTCCATGTCCTACGGTTTCAACATGGGAATTTCGGATCGTTTATCCGATCGTAGATTGCAATTCTGAATTTGTCAATTTGTGATTTGGGACTCGAAGATTCGCTGGAAGCGCTTGCATGCAAGAATTTCCGGCGCATTAGCCCTCGAACTCTGTTCTTATGGAATTTTGTCGTATATGGGTCTCTCGTTAGCTGTAAATTTTTCATCGTTTGAGATTGATTTCAGTATTTTAAAAAAAATTCAAATACTGATGTGAACTCATGGTCCGAAGTGACTGTTTGTGGGTTTGGGAAAGTTCCTGTCTTTCTCACTTTTATGTTGAAATTTTCTGGTTAATCAATTTAAGCGTGAAGTATATATATATTGTTGCTATGTTGTGTAGATTTGTCTGTGTTCTTGTATGTGTTATGCTTTTAGTTCTGTTTGTTTAGGGTTTCAAGAGATTCTGATCATGAAGTCTCATCCAGTTTCTATTGCTTCTATCTGTCAATTTGCTGTAATTACAACGGCTCCTTGTGAATTATACGAGCAGAAGCTTGAGGAAAATAACTAAAAATGTCTCCCAGTTAAACTGATCTGAGCTTTGGATTGGGATTTTTCCAGGTTCAGTTGTGTTGCCCAAGAATATCCAAGAATTTTGGTAGTTTCGTATTGGAGGCTGTTGAATGGTGGACCTAACAATGGGGTCTCAAGGAGAAGTTAGTGGTAACGTAAAGAATTCTCAGTTCGAGCCATTGGCACGACAGAACTCCTTGTACAATCTCACTCTTGACGAGGTTCAGAGCCAGTTGGGTGATTTGGGGAAGCCTCTTAGCAGCATGAACCTTGATGAACTTCTGCAAAATGTTTGGACCGCCGAAGCTAACCAGTCCTCCGAGACCGAGCCCAAGAGCGTTATTAACCTGGGCAATCATCAAAATAGTTCCTTGCAACGCCAAGCTAGTCTTTCGCTGACCGGAACTTTAAGCAAGAAAACGGTAGATGAAGTCTGGAGAGACATACAGAGAAGCAATAGCAGTGATGAAAACAGTCCTCAGGTGAGGCAACCCACTCTTGGAGAAATCACCTTGGAGGATTTCTTGGTAAAAGCTGGAGTTGTGTCTGAATCCCCTGTCGAGAAAGAAAACTCCGGGCCTGTTCCCGGGGTTGATCCCAATATCGCTTCCCAGTTCCCTCAGCAACAGCAGTGGATTCAGTACTCACACCCGTCGTATCAGCAGTCACAACAGGGTATTATGGGAGGTTATATGCCTAAACAGTCGATGATGGCACAGTCTGTGCAAGTGATGGATGCAACTCGTCTTGACAATCCTCTGATGGGAACGTTGTCAGATACCCAAATGCCGGGAAGGAAAAGGGGTGCACCTGAGGAGTTCATTGAGAAAACTGTTGAGAGGAGGCAGAAGAGGATGATAAAGAATCGGGAATCTGCTGCACGTTCAAGGGCAAGAAAGCAGGTAATGACTGAAAGTGTTTGTTGGCTGGCATAAGGTTCCATTTATTTAAATGAACTTTGTTGAGACTATTACCAGGCTTATACAAATGAACTGGAGAATAAAGTCTCGAGATTGGAAGAGGAAAACGAGAAGTTAAGGAAACAGAAGGTGAGTGCTCTATTATGGCAATGCTTCCTTCCTGTTTGTCCACTTCAAATGGCATCATAAGAATTGCATGCTGCATCTGTCTTGTGGGTTAGTAATTGAAGTTCTCTAAGACAGAATATCCTCTTCTGGAACCAAATGATCACAAAATCTATGATCCATCTTTTTTTTGTCACACACTTTTAATTGTCCGCCCTACCATTCCGTCTCTGCATCAACAATACATAGAAACGCTTTTCCTTTATCAATGTTGTCTACTTTTCTTTCATACATTCCTTTTGGTCTTTTGGGTATTTGCAAGTTCAGAACTTTACACAGATGTGGTGGTATTGTATTGCTCCTTATGCAGGCATAGTGTATATATATTCAGTAATATACTATTAGATTCAACAAGCTGTGATTGGGAAAAAGGAAATCAATATATAAGTTATCTCCTCTATCCTATCATCAGTCTAACTTTTGCGTCATTGTTACATCTGATATGCCTCGTAATTCAAGTTTTATAAATTGGAGCATGGATTTTTTTTGTTTAAGTTTGAAACGTTTTGTCCATGAGAAATCTTTTACTTGTAAGTTGTCATCTGTTAATTGTTTGGTGAATCATTAATATCAGAAAGTTGTTTGTTTTTCAACATCACTCTCCTCCGAGCTTGTTCTAAAGAAAACTTCAGACAAGTGAGATTTTAGTTTGTCTTGAACTCTTGAGCGCGAAGGTTTGGGATCTGAGTATCTTCGGTAAACATGAAGATGGTCATTTATCTTTGTATCCCTTCGCTTTCGATGAGTTTAGGATTTGTATCATTCACATATTAGTACTTTATTTTTGCTTCTATCTTCAATTTAGAATTTGGTATTTGCGTGGAATTCCGTGAATTACTTTATTTTTGCTTTTGGTTGGGAGTTTTTGTCCATCATCTTTGAGATTGTGCTTTTAAGGTTTATGTCATCCAAGCTGGAGAGAAACCAGCCCTGAGTTCTTTGTCATTGCCTAGATAAAGATAAACATGCATTCCCCGAGTGTTTTATGAGTAACCAGAGATTGATTTCTTTCAGATGTTTGAGTGAAATGTTTCTAATTATTCTTGGATCAACTTCTGCGTGTTACGTTAGCGTAGTTTTTTTTCCCGGCATCCAATATGGTTAATATGTAATATTACGCATGTCGTATTGTTTGTCCCTGGTTTAATCCTTTTTATAGTAATAGGCCAGTGCTAATGGTCTACTATCATAGTTAAAATTTGTAAGTAATGCTTAGACCGTGGTTTATTCAATCGTGTATGGCTGACGGGCGAGGTCGTGTTATACAAAACGAGACGAACTGAAAGCAGGAGCATGTGATATGACACCTTACCAACTTTCTTCTTGCAGGAGCTGGAGAAGCTTTTGCCCGAAACTCCTGTGGCTGAGCCAAAGTACCAGCTTCGCCGAACGTCTTCAGGCCCGCTCTAGAATCCCGTATTGTAGATAACCACACCTTTTTCTGAGAACAATCTGCTCAGTGCGTTGTATGCATAAGCGAAGTCTGGGTCTGTCTCTTTTAGTGTGTGTTTGTTCCCTCTAAGCTTGTAGGATGTGGAAATGTTGCTGTTTACTGAATATGTCTTGTGATGTATCTGTCTGTGTACATATAGGGGTTAGTCTCGGCTTGTCTTCTGTATTCAAAGCCATGCTTTTGTAGTTTCGAGTTTTGAAAAAAAATGTTTTCAAGTGTTTGGAGACTTTGCTCTCCTTTTGTAGTGTTGCAGCTGGGGCCTCTGCGTGCGTTTCCTGTGGTGATGCCAAAGTTAGTTAACCCACGGGTAGGGGTGGGTATTCGGTTCGGTTATTTCGGTCATTAATCGAATTGAAATTGAACCGAATTAAATAATCGATTCATTATAAATTTTCAAAACATGAAATAACCGAAAACGAATCGAATAAAATTAAATAAACGTTTGGTTATAAATTTTTAAAAAATGAAATAACCGAATATGAATTAATCGTTACTGGTTAATCCGAAACAAACCGTTCGCCCATTTCTACCCATGAGTTGAGCTTTAAACCATAACAGGGGTGATGTTTCGGTTTTTGATTTTGGTTCGATTCGTTATATTCGGATTTCTACTTTTACATTTTTAGAAAATTTAATATCCATTCAGTTTTTTTAATTAGATTCGGGTTATAATAATAAAAATACTCAATATCCAAAGAAATATATATTTTTTTAAAAAATTTATATTTGGTTCGACTTAATCGACTTCTTGGTAGTGAGGTGATCAAGACTCTTGTTGGTCTATGTAAAAGTCGGCCCTCGAAAGATCAATATTCTGTAAGCAATTGATAAACCTATAGCTGGTGAGAGTCTTCGTAGGAGCAAAATTCGACCGTTATTCGTTTTTGAGTACTTTTTTTTTTGTTAAAATTTGTATTTGTAATTCTTCAAAAGAAGATGAAGGCATAGGAAGGCCCTGTAACAAAATGTACAAAAATACCCGCAAGGGTCAAAATATGAAACTAATGACGGGTGGGTTGTGCGCAGTCCGGCGATCTTAGGGCGAAAGCCTCGTTCAATCTCTGTCTGAAGAAGTGATGAGCTCTTGAACCGTGCAGTATGTATACGCGAGTTTCGTTATGGACCAAACGGTATATATATATTGTTGGGATTCGCTACGGGTTCCTACCATGCGATCTCATCGATCTAAGATTTGGTTACTTAGGTTTCATACAGCGGAAAAAAGATCTAAACCTAGACAAACGTCACACGCAACCAAACTTGCAAAACCCAAAGATCGGTATATCACCGAGGGAATCGTTACTTACTTCGTTCTCGATGAAACTTGAAGCAAATATCGATCCGGGGTCTGTTCTTAATCACCTAAGACTGAAACAGTCCCTCTATAGGTACCCACACCGACGAAAGGATTTCAAACGATTTGGAACGTATCTGCTAGGATTAGTGAAGAAAAGGGTAACTCGAGAGACCAGATCTAATCTCGAGAAGCTTAAAAAACGAAAAGAATGAATTGTCTAGGGTTCTTAGATGTTTATCTGAGTTTTAGGGCGACCTTAATTAAGTTTGGATGAAATTCCAAACTTAAATAAGCTTAGAAAATCCTAAATCCGAATTTTAGTCAAATTCACAGATCCCGGTCCGCCGGACTAGGAACTTGGTCCGGCGGACCAAGCTCACTCAGTTGCCTTCGGACCGCCTGACCTGGAGCCTTGGTCCGACGTACGAACGCCCTTGGTCCGCCTGATCCAGCATCTGGTCCGGAGCTGACCAACTCTTGGTCAGCCGGACCAGACCTAGACAGAAGATCATGGGCTGACCGGATTCTCTGGGCTGACCAAACTTGGTCAGCTACGGACCAACGCACTGAGAAATCATTCTCATGCTCGTTTCGCTCAAATCTCAACTCCTTTCTTCGGATTCTTCACATATTAGTCCATCTCTAGTGGCGTGTGACCTTGTAGGTCCATTGTAACTAGTAGTGACTTCGAAAACTTTTCTCGAACCGCAAGTCATGGTTAGCCTCTAGCAAGACGCTATGACCACCCTCTTAGAATTGAGTTAGAGGTGATCTAACCAAGGCATTAGCAGCTCGAGTTCTGATCCTTTGTCTCACGATATCATATGTTGAACAAGGGCATGGTTTGAGCCACCCTTCAAGTTCAACCGCTTTCTCGTCTTGGCAAATCGACTAATAAAATAGATGCAACTTCATCTATAGCGTGGCCATGCGTTTTTCATAGTCCGACTTCCACGAGAGGGTCCAGCGATATCTCTCCTATTAAGGAGGTGACAAGTCCCATATTACTTGTCTACTATCTCCATATGATTCGTGAACGTATCTGATCAGCGCCGTTATAATCATCCGATTAAAGACGACGTTTGACGCAGTCAAGACATGCCACTCCTCATATAAGATACTCTAGATATTTCAGGTATGAGGATCCAAGAACGAACCGCTGTATGAGATTCAAGTCATGACTCTGTCCATGTGACAATCTCATGCGGGTCAACCAGTCACTCATTCA